CTTAGAGTTTGTTCGTTGAATGTAGGCACATTAAATTCTAGGTTGCCGGAGCTGACCGACGTACTTAGTAATAGGAAAATAGATTTTGCATGTATTGAAGAGACTAGGTGGAAAGGGGCTCGTGCCAGAGAGTGTAATGAGTACAAGTTGTGGTATTCATGCGTAAATAACGCTAGAAATGGGGTGGGTATCTTGGTATCCTCTAGGCTCAAGGAAAATGTAGTTGAAGTTTGTAGATACCGGGATAGGATCATGATGATTAAGGTTATTATAGAAGCGGAAGTGATAAATGTCCTTTCAGTGTACACCCCACATGTTGGCCTAGGGGAGGGGGAGAAACGTTGCTTCTGGGATTAGTTAGATGATGTACTTAGGAGCATTCCAGAGGACCAAAGAGTTTTTATAGGGGGAGACTTCAATGGCCATATAGGTAGTGCAACCGACGGGTATGACGGTGTTCATGGGGGTTTCAGTTTTGGTAGTAGGAACGAGGAGGGGCGTACGTTGCTTGAATTTGCTACTGCACACGATATGGTGGTCACTAACTCCTTTTTTAACAAGAGAGATCTGAACTTGATTACGTTCCATAACTGGGGGCATTGTACCCAAATCGACTATATCCTGGTCCGAAATCGGGATCGATGGGCTTGCATTGACTGTAAGGTGTTCCCTGAAGAGGTATGTGCATCACAACACAAATTGTTGGTTTTGGTGTTCCGCGTGTGCCACGGGCATAACACTCAATGGAGGGCTAAACTTAAACCTATGATCCTTTGGAAGAACTTACATGGAGCGACAACTGATGACTTTAGGAGTAAGGTTTTGTCTAATACAGGTTTTAGAACTACAAACTCAAATAATACATATATGTTATGGAAAAATATGGCAAATTTCATCAGAGAGGTGGGCAAAAACTCCCTTGGGTTATCGACAGAGAAAGTCAAGGAACATAAAGAATTGTGATGGTGGAACGAATAAGTCCAAACTAAGTTGAAGACAAAGCAAACTTGCTTCAAGGAGTTTCTACAATACAATGACTACGAAGAAAGATCGAGAGCTAAACAAAGATACAAGGAGGCAAAGGGGAAAGCCAAGAAAACAGTGGCTAAAGTAAAGGATAAGGCATACGAGGAAATGTACAAGAGATTAGACACCAAGGAAGGACAAAACGTCATCTTCAGGCTTGCGAAATCTAGGGAGAATAGGAAAAAGGATCTAGGTAGCATTAGGTTTATTAAGGATAACAATAATGTTCTTTTAGTGAAAGATCATGATATTAAGAGGGTTTAGGGTAGTTACTTCTTTGGCTTATTTAATGACGGTGCCTCTCCCGGTAAAGATAGTTCCGTTGATGGGTTAGCCGACCATCATACTACGACCAATAATTGCCCTACAAGTAAGATTGGATTTGAGGAAGTTAAAATGTCTTTTAGAAAGTCGAGGAGGGACAAAGTTGTCGGTCCAGATCAAATTCCTATCACTGTGTGGTTGGCCCTAGGAGAATAGGGAGTTAAATGGTTGACCAACTTCTTTAATATTATTTTAGAGACTATCAAGATGCCAGAGGAGTGGAGAGAGTCTACAGTGATACCAATCTATAAGAATAAAGGAGATCCCCAACGTTGTGGTAACTACAGAGGTATTAAACTACTCAGCCATACCATGAAGCTATGGGAAATGGTGATAGAGGCTAGGGTGACAGAGTCTCGTTTCGGAAAGCCAATTTGGCTTTATGCCAGGCAGGTCTATTACGGAGGCGATTCATTTACTTCGACGGCTTATGGAGAAATATAGGGAACAAAATAGAGATCTTCACATGGCATTCATTGACATTGAGAAGACGTATGATAGCGTTCCCCGCGATACGATATGGAAGACCTTGGAAATGATACGGATCCCAACTGTTTATATCCGGGCGATTCGTGATATGTACTGTAGATCTATTACATACGTCAGGACTACAGTTGGAGACACCGAGGCATTCTCGGTGAAAATCGGACTCCACTAAGGGTCGGCTCTTAGCCCTTACATCTTTGCCTTGATTATGGACGACATCTATTGTGCGACACCAGACGGTGTTTCATGGTGTATGCTTTTCGCTGACGATATTGTCCTAGTTGTTGAAACAACAACTGAGCTGAATAGTAGACTGACTACCTGGAAGACTATTTTGGAAGAAAAAGGTCTAAGGATCAATATTAAAAAGATAGAGTATTTATGTTCAAACTTCAGTGGGAACCAAAACGATGAAGATGTAGAAGTATGCATAGAAGGGCACGTTCTCCCCTCAAAGGATTGTTTCAAGTACCTAGGGTCTATGATTCATAAAGATGGGGGTGTAGATGATGACGTTACACACCGTATAAAGGCGGGTTGGCAAAAGTGGAGGGTTGCTACTGGAGTTTTTTGTGACAAGAAGGTGCCTATAAAACTTAAGGGAAAATTTTATAGAATTGCAATAAGACCAGCGTTGCTGTATAGATCAGAATGTTGGGCAATCAAGAAGGATCACGTAAGGAGGATGTAGGCCGCAAAAATGAGAATGCTTCGATGGGCATGTGGTAGGACTCTGTGGGACATGACACCAAACTTATCTATTAGGGTGTCCTTGGGGGTGGTGTCTGTATCCAAAAAACTGAGGGAGGGAAGACTACGGTGGTTTGGGCATGTCCTTAGGCGACAACCGTCGGATGCGGTCAGGAGGGTAGAGTCGATCAGAGCCGACGGTGCCAGAAGGAGAGGACGACCAAGGAGGAAGTGGGAAGACTGCTTGAGATCTGATTTGAAGGATTTAGTGCTTACCGAGAACATGACCTCTGATAGAAAAGTATGAAGACTTAAGACCAGGGTAGGCGAATAATGCGGGTCACAACCATAGGGTGTAACATCTCTGTCTTTTTTTTAATGCCTTTGTAGTAATTTCCATGACTTCTACTTTTTATGCGTTTCTGTCATTGGAATTTATGAAGGCTTAGAACTAGGGTAGCAGAGTAGTGTTGCCTTAGTTTAGGTTTTAACCCATTTGACATTATTCCTTCTCGTAGCTTGCCATCATTGACTTCTGTGTATCATTCTCTTCATGTTTCCTATTTTTAAATTTAGTCGGGTCTTACGTTTCTGTCTATATGCAAAGATTTTTACGCAGTGATTTATTTGCAGGGAATACTTCCCATTAAAGACGTGCATATGAAGACTGCATATGAAGACTGTTCAACTATATATTTATTTATTTATTTATATATACATGCATTGCATTTTATCTTTATTTTTAATTTTCTGACTGCCAGAGGTCTTCCACGGAAGCTGCTCTCAACCTGGCGTTGGGGGCAGCCTACTACCCTACCTCCCCCCTTACTCCATTGCATATGGGAATAGGGTTTTGTTGTTGTTGTTGTTGTTACGTACACTATCAGTTTTGATCTGTTTTAGTACCTAAACTTTCAATTATTTTAAAAACCATACCTATAGTTTAATTTTTGTATCATTTTACTACCTCGTTCAAAATTAACATTAAATTTTTAAAAAAAGAAGAAATTTTAGCTACTTAATTAGACCAAAACTGATAATTTAGTTACTAAACGCGTTAAGTTTTTAATGATAGGGTACTCAAATGAAATAAAAACTAAACGTTAAATATGATTTTGAAAAAATTAAAAGTTTATGTACTAAAATGAATCATAATTGTTAATTTAGACACTAAATGTGTAATTTCCCTAAATTATATAAGGTTTAATGACGTGTCACTTTTACTTTTTAAAATTTTCATTTTAATCTCTGAATTTTTGTTCTTTTAGTCTTGAACGTATTCTTTTTTTTTGTAAAAATGAATTTATTTATGAAAGAAATGATAAATTTGTAATATATATATATATATATATTACAACGGTTCATATTTTATTATTTTTAATAATTTAAATATATAATCTTATGATTTTCAAAACATTTTACTTTTATATAAAGCACAATAATTAATATCAGTATTAAAAAAAGTAATTAACGTAAAATGAACAAATTTATTTTTTACAATTGATTTAATTTAAAAAATAATAAAACTTCTAACGCCAAATCAGGGGGAAAATATTTAAGGACTATAATGGTTTTGTTTAGTCATTAAGCCATTATAAATATGTAAAAAATTTAGGCAAAAAGCTGCCTAAGAAAGAAATTAAAAATTTTGCATGTCTCTTTTTCGTACATCAGCTGATGAGCCTGTCTTGGTTTGTTTGGTCTGCTTCTAATCGTCTGCAAACGAATGGTATTTACCAGAACATATCAATCATATTTTTTATTTATGTATGTTTAAATATTTATTTCTATTAAATACTTAATTTTTGCTTTGAATAAATAGTAAGAGAAAGAAAAATAAAGATGTGAGCTTCAATCATAAATTCTTATTTTTTTGTTATAATTCAAACATAAATATCGAATAGAGAGATAAAGAAGTTTCTGATTCTCAGCCACTACCGTTTTTAAACCCTTTGCTAAGATATTCCATTCTTTTGTTTTGTTTTTCAAAAGCTTCTTTTTCTTTCTCACGTGTCTCTTTCAGCTTTGTTTTCTATTGACTTTCTGGAAGACTTGATCAGCACTGCACCTTTTAAACAATAATCGGTAGCTTCCCTTTAATTATGATATAATTTCAGTATCAAGCAACATTTTTTACCACTTTTATACTTTTGGGTATCTTTCAAAAACCCTTTTTTCCCTCAAAACTTGATTCAAAGCTGCCCCCCGCCCCCAATATGATTTCTTACTGTTTTCACTGCTTCTTTTCATTTGATATTCTCTGGAGGTTTTTAAATGAAATGTAATGAAGTAGTTGAGTTGAACTAAACGTGGTTTGCTTATTTTAGGTCAAAGTCAAAGTTGAAACATGGCAGCCTGGTCCACAATCTCTACCCCAAGATTAAACTCGATCTAAGGAGTAAAATTACAAAACAAATGTCTGCTGTTGAGATTACACTTGCTTCTCAATCTTCTCCTTGCTATTTCTGCGAACCTCCATTAATGAAAATTGAATTCTTTTTCCTCTTTATTTTAGTGGTTTAAGTGTTCCCTTTTCTGATTCATGTGGCTACTAATTGTTTACCAGGTGTTTGATATCTTGACTTGTTTCATTTTCCCTTTATTTGCCTTTCTAATAAATAGAGAATTATCCTAAAGATCTTGTTTGATTCATTCCTGGATCTTCTTTGTTGTTGGTTTTTGTTTTCTCAGGACTGCAGTTTCTTTGGCATTAATTGTACAAGAGTCTAGAATTTACTTGTGCAAAAGAAAATGGGTGGTGGAAGGAGAAGAAAAAGAAGTTTCAGCAGAATTCATGCTTTCACATGTGGGAAAGCATCATTTAAAGGGGGTCATTCATTGATTGGAGGGCCTGGTTTCTCAAGAGTGGTGTATTGCAATGACCCTGAATGTTTTGAAGCAAGTCTGCTTAACTATGGTGGGAATTATGTTAGAAGCACAAAGTATACACTTGTAACATTCTTCCCTAAATCATTGTTTGAGCAGTTCAGGAGGGTTGCCAATTTCTATTTTCTAGTCTGTGCTGTTCTGTCTTTCACACCTCTCTCCCCTTATTTACCTGTCAGTAATGTTCTTCCATTACTTCTTGTAATTGGAGCCACCATGGGAAAGGAGGTTGTCGAAGATTGGAAGCGAAAAAAGCAGGTACTCTTTCTTAACGACTCGAACAGTAGTTTCGGATTTGCTGTGTGTGTGTGTGTGTTTTTTGCATGAATTATGGAGAATGAAGGGTAGAGTTCTGAATTTTGGGGTATGCGATCGATAATTCTGAATTTTGACTCTTTCTTAACGACTCGAACAGTAGTTTCGGATTTGCTGTGTTTTTTTTTGCATGAATTATGGAGAATGAATGGTAGAGTTCTGAAGTTTGGGGTATGCGATCGATAATTCTGAATTTTGATAAACATACTTCAAGGATGCTAATTGTTAACAGATTTCATGCAGGAAGCTGGTTTCTGGTGTCTTAGAGATCTGTCGGTTTAGATACAGTGGCTCTATTGTCCATCTTGTTAAAGTGTTTAAGTCCCTTCAAATGATACTTTGCATGATACTTGAAAATGTCTAATTTTTTTTGCTTCTTTAGCATGTTGAGTGGATGCTATTCCTTTATGCTTCGTGTATTGCTTTCTTGATCTCCATTCTTCAGTTTGTTTCTTTTCTTTTTATCTGGCTTTTTTGTTAGTCTATGTTTCTCAGGTTCGTAAACTAGTTGTTGATGACATTGCAGGACATTGAAATGAACAACAGGAGAGTTGAAGTGCATCAAGGTGATGATGTTTTCGAGCATACAAAATGGATGGATTTGAAGGCTGGGGATATAGTCAAGGTGGAGAAGGATGAATTCTTTCCTGCTGATCTTATTTTGTTGTCATCAAGCTACGACGAAGCTATTTGCTACGTTGAAACTATGAACCTTGATGGGGAAACTAATTTGAAACTAAAACAAGCACTGGATGCAACTTCAAATCTGCATGAGGATTCAAGCTTTCAAAATTTCAAGGCTGTCATCAGATGTGAAGATCCAAATGCAAATTTATACTCTTTTGTTGGCAGTTTGGAATTCAGAGAAGAACAATATCCTCTATCTCCCCAGCAGCTTCTACTAAGGGACTCAAAGTTAAGGAACACGGATTATATTTACGGTGCAGTTGTCTTCACAGGACATGACACAAAGGTGATTCAGAATTCAACCGAACCTCCTTCGAAGAGAAGCAAGATTGAAAAGAGGATGGATACAATTGTGTGCTTTCTGTTTGCTTTCCTCGTTGTTCTGTCTATTATCGGGTCGATTTTCTTTGGAATAGCAACTAGAGAGGACCAGGAAAATGGGAAAATGACAAGATGGTTCCTTAGACCCGATGAGACTACAATTTATTATGATCCAGAACGAGCAACAATTGCAGCAATTTTGCAATTCTTGACAGCCCTGATGTTGTATTCGTATTTTATTCCCATTTCCTTATATGTTTCCATTGAAATTGTCAAAGTTCTTCAAAGCATTTTCATCAATCAAGATCTGCAAATGTACTATGAAGAAGCAGACAAGCCAGCACGAGCACGAACCTCTAATCTAAATGAAGAACTTGGCCAGGTTGATACTATACCTTCTGATAAAACTGGAACTTTGACTTGTAACTCCATGGAATTTATCAAATGTTCTGTGGCTGGAACATCTTATGGTCATGGAATTACAGAAGTCGAAAGAGCTCTTGCTTGGAGAAAGGGTTCACATTTGGCTCGAGAGATGATGGAGGTAGAAGGAAAAATAGAGGAGTTCAAGGAAGAAAAGCTGTCAATCAAAGGGTTTAATTTTGTGGATGAAAGAATCATGAATGGTAATTGGAGAAACGAACCTCGTGCGGATTTAATCCAGAAGTTCTTACAAGTATTGGCTATCTGTCATACCACAATACCTGAAGTGGATGAAGAAACAGGAAGAGTTTCATATGAAGCCGAATCACCAGATGAGGCAGCATTGGTGGTTGCAGCTAGAGAACTGGGATTTGTGTTCTATGAAAGGACACAAACAAACATTTCGTTATACGAGTTCGATCCAGTCTTGGGCAAAAAAGTTGAAAGGTCATAAGCTTTGCTAGCGAATAAATCACTTCTAAGGCTTCCATTGCACCATCTTTAGCTCCAGGCAGAATACATAGGCTTTAGTAGCTGATGGTATTTTCATGTGTATTCACCATGATAGAACATAGTTTTTACACTTTTGCAGATCTTATAATCTATTGAACATCTTGGAGTTTAGTAGCTCAAGAAAGCGGATGTCGGTGATCCTGAGGAACAAGGAGGGAAAGCTGTTGCTACTTTGTAAAGGTGCTGACAGGTACGTACTCTGAAACAGCAGTTTAATAAGATTGTTTCGAGTAAGTTTAGTGATAATGATGAACATAGCACCCAACTATGGCATCATTCTATCTCCAGAACTCCGAGTAAGGATGAATATCTCTTCTATCATAACCAAGGAGAGGCGGGATATTACGTTGCTTGGTAATTCTTTCTAGTATACAAGAACTTGACAACTGATTATATTGAGTAATTTTCTTTCTTCGATCAAGCAGTGTCATGTTCGAAAGGCTTGCAAAAAATGGACAAGAATTTGTGAAGCAAACCAAGGAGCACATAGCGGAATATGCTGATGCTGGTTTGAGGACTTTGGTAGTTGCATATCGTGAAATAGACGAGGAAGAATATGTTGAGTTCAATGAGCAGTTCACAGAAGCTAAGAACCGAGTGAGTGCGGATCGGGAAGAAATGATCGAGGAAGTTGCCGGAAACATTGAAAGGGATTTGATTCTTCTTGGTGCTACAGCTGTTGAAGACAAACTTCAAAATGGGGTGAGTTTAAAGGCAACAAATATGACTTGTTCGTTTTTTCATGTCATGCTCAAATACTGGAGAATCGAGTCACTTGTAATGTATATCGAGTATTCACCTTTCTTGCTGGTCAGGTTCCTGAATGCATTGACAAACTTGCACAAGCCGGGATCAAAATTTGGGTTTTAACAGGAGATAAAATGGAGACAGCAATAAACATTGGGTATGAGAATTACTATAAATACTTACCATATAATCTGATGTGAACTTGTGCTGATTTTTGGAACTTTTTGTGTTGAACTTTGCAGTTTTGCTTGTAGCTTGCTTAGACAAGGTATGAATCAAATAGTAATAAATTCGGAGACTCCTGAAAACAAGGCTTTGGAGAAATCTGGGGAAAAATCCGCAGCTGCAGTGGTAAACATCTCATTCCTTGAATGTTCTATTAATGTCATGTCAACAAAAAACGTGTTCTGGAATCATTATGTTTTCAGATTCTTACCATTTTGAACTCTGATGGCATATCAACTCGAAAATTCTCAATGACTTTTTCATTTTATATCCAGATCAAGTTCTGCATTTATTTAATATATTTTGGTAAAATGAACAAACCACTGCAACCATGACATCCTCATTTTTACTGTGATGCACATTTGTTTTGTAAACATGCTGTCGTATATGCACTGCCTCAAGCTGTTCATACTGAAAGAAACCAGTCCCGAGGTGGTTGCCTTATTTGTTCAAACATGAGATTAGTTACATATAGTATAAAGTGGTTTCTTATCTAAATCTAATCTAAACTTTGAGTGTGCTTGTGGACTTGTTGAGATCCTTTTGGTTTTTTAGGCATTTAAGGCAAGCGTTCTCCAGCAGATATCTGAAGGAAAGCAGTTGCTTTCTTCATTATCCAAAAAATCTGAGGCAGTGGCTTTAATTATTGATGGCAAGTCACTAATTTATACTCTAGAAGATGATGTCAGAGACATTTTCCTAGAACTCGCCATCGGCTGTGCATCTGTTATTTGCTGCCGTTCATCTCCTAAACAGAAGGCACTGGTAAGTTAAATTATCCTTCAATGGTACATGAAGTTATACTTGTGGAATCTTTTAGAATTAAATCAGTTACAATGAGTGAAAAATCGTTGTGTATCAATCCGACTAACATGTACTTGTTCTAGCAATTCAGAGGAGAAATTTGAGCTAATAAGGTGAAAAAACCAATGCAGGTTACAAGACTGGTTAAAACGAAAACGGGTAGTACAACTCTAGCAATTGGTGATGGAGCAAATGATGTTGGTATGCTTCAAGAAGCTGATATTGGAGTTGGTATTAGTGGTGCAGAGGGAATGCAGGTAAATTCTAAATTCATTGCTCCATCTATGAAGATGGTGCATATGTTTCTGACAGTCAATTCTCGAATTTTCAGGCTGTCATGTCGAGCGACATCGCAATAGCCCAGTTCCGTTTTTTGGAACGCTTGCTTCTTGTGCATGGACATTGGTGTTATAGAAGGATTTCATCAATGGTAATATAAGTCATTCTGAGATGTTAAAACTTGAAGTGTTAACCAAAGCCTGCGATCTAATATTGAAATGATGATCCATATAAGTAGTAACTGCCTTGACCGTCACACAATAAAGTTCGATTTCCGGCTTTAATCTATGTTAACGCTCTGTGATGGAACTGTTTTGCAGATATGCTATTTCTTTTACAAGAACATTGCATTTGGTTTCACAATCTTCTTCTATGAGATATACACATCGTTCTCGGGTCAAGCCGTATACAATGATTGGTTCCTATCCCTCTATAACATCTTCTTCACATCACTTCCCGTGATTGCTCTGGGAGTTTTCGACCAGGACGTCTCATCCCGTTTATGTCTTAAGGTATCACGTCTAGATTTTTGAATGACTACTAGAGCTTCATTTCTAAAACTCGATATCGATGATGAAATGTGATGATGATCATATCTGATTGCAGTTTCCTCTATTATATCAAGAAGGAATCCAGAATGTCCTCTTCAGCTGGCATAGAATCCTTGCCTGGTCATTTAATGGAGTGCTTAGTGCTACCATAATCTTCTTCTTTTGCATTCGAGCGATTCAACATCAAGCATTCCGCGAAGGTGGGGAAGTCGCCGGCTTGGAAGTCCTCGGAACTACGATGTACACATGTGTGGTATGGGTAGTTAACTGTCAAATGGCTATATCCATCTCTTATTTTACATATATACAGCATCTCTTCATCTGGGGTGGCATTGTTTCTTGGTATATATTCCTCATTGCTTATGGAGCCATGGATCCGGACATATCGACCACTGCGTACCATGTCTTTATTGAAGTCTGCGCTCCGGCCAGGTCGTATTGGCTTCTCACACTCCTCGTGCTAATCGCCTCATTGTTACCGTATTTCGCTTATTCAGCGATCCAAATGCGGTTCTTCCCATCGTATCACCAGATGATACAATGGATTCGATCAGATGGGCAATCCGATGACCCCGAGTACTGTCATTTGGTGCGACAAAGATCACTACGTCCCACAACCGTAGGTTTTACTGCACGTTTTGAAGCAAAATCGAAAAGCACCAAAGAGAGAGATCGGGGTCATTGATGAACCTCCCGGCTGAAATGCAGATGCATTTTCAGTTCGGATAAATGTCAACAGCATGAATTAGTTGAACTGCAAAATAACGACAGTAATATTGCATTACGATTGTTATTTAAGTGCTGGTGATCACATTTTCAGTACTCTTCTGAAACATAGCTGTATAGTACTTCAAATGTACATACATATATGCATATATGTAGCATCATTATATATAGGTTTTGAGTTGTACTTCTGAGGCCACGTTATATTTTGCAGCTAAGCTTGTAATTTATTTGAATTATTATTTGTTAATATAAAATACTTAATTTAATTAGAAAAATGTTACTATTTATGTCCCACTAAAAATATATGTTATTAATCTACCCGGTATTAAGGTTCTTTGCCGCCTTGGTCAGTTTGTTACTGTTCGTTTTTTGCTTTTTTCTGTTTTTTGATTCGTTGATTTTATTTTTTCCATGGGTGATTTGGAGGATGCTCTGGATAATCTTGATCTTGGTGAGGAGGAGGAGGTGATGATTGAGATCAGAAACTCTAGCGTACAACCTTTGATCTCTTTTGATAACTGCTTGGTGGGAAGGTTTCTCACGTCGGGGAATATAAATTTTCAGGCAATGCAGACTATTATGGCTAATGTGTGGCACCCTATTGGCGGTATTTCGATAACGAATATGGGGAGGGGTGCTATCTTTTTAGATTTTATCACGAAGTGGACATCACCAGGATTGTTACTGAGGGGAGTGGTATTTCAACTATCATTTATTGATCCTCCATCGGTTGGTTAATGGGGAGGATCCTCTGACTGTCCCGTTGAATATGGTTGATTTTCAGATTCTGATAAATGACCTGCCAATGGGTTTTATATATGAACCGATTGTGAAACAGTTGGGGAATTTCGTAAGAAATTATGTCGATTTAGATGCTTCTACTATTACTTTGGGTATAGGGAATGTCTACTTGTAAGGATCAATATTGACGTTCGGAAGCCTCTAAAGAGCAAGCAAAATTGTATCTTCCAACGAATGGTTTTACTTACGCAACATTTCAATATGAAAAACTGAAAATGTTTTGTTTCCTCTGTGCTAAACTAGGTCCGGGGAGGGCTTCTGTCTGTTACGGGTTCTCGAGCCAAAACAAGAATTGGTTTTGCAGTGGGATGCTTCACTTTGGGCACCACCAAGACATCGTTCCCTTGTTTCCAGTCCTTGGCTTAAGGAGGAAGAGAATGAGGGGATCTTCAGTTCGAGTGAGGGAAATTCCAGAAGTGTGGGCAAGTCTGGCTCTACTGCTAGTGAGGGGCTTTCCTCTTTGATTCAGCAAGCGGAGTCTTCGGAAGGTTTGAAGGGTGTCGAGTTAATAGGTATGCGCCTGTGCTTTCTCATTTGTTTTTTTGCTGATAATAGTTTGATTTTTGGCGAGGCAACAACATGATGCATGGCTAGGTTGAAGGACATGTTGCGTGTCTATAGAGAGAGTTTGGGTCACTTATTAATTTTGAGAAGTCGGGCCTCTTTTTCAGTTCGAATTTGGTTGATGTGAAATTTGAGGTGGAGAGTACTTCTAATCCTGAAAAGTTTTTGGGTCTCCCGACAATTGTAGGAAGGAATAAAAGAGGGGCGTTTTTGAATCTGAAGGACAAATTTCAATCCTGGATCCTTAATTGGTGCATTCGCTTACTTTCACAGGGGAAATGAGATTTTCATCAAGTATGTTCTGCAAGCTATCCCGCTTTATGCTATGTCATATTTTTTTTCTCCCGAAGAGCTTGTGCAAAGTGTTTGAGGCTATTATGGCTTGGTTTTGGTGGCAAAAGTCAGAGAAAAAATGTGGTATTCACTGGTGCACGTGGCAATCTCTTTGCTCATTGAAAGAAGATGGATGTTTGGGTTTTCGGGACTTAGCGAAATTTAATATCGCTCTTCTGGCAAATCAAGGTTGACGGTTGTTAACAAATCTTAATTCTCATGTTAGTCGCCTTATCAGAGCAAAATATTACCTGAGTGGGGAGTTCCTTGGTTTAAGACTCAGTTCTCACCCGTCTTACATTTTGCGGAGTATCTGGAGCTCGAAAGGCTTGCTTGAGAAAGGTTTGCGAGGAAAGTGGAGTCAGGAGAAGTGATCTCTATCTGGAACAATTTCTGGCTCCTGGGGCGTTCTCCACAAAAAGTTCTAACTCCTCCTGTTTATTCGGTTTCACATGTTTTAGATCTTATGTTGGAGGAGTCAAGACAATGGAACGTGAAGCTTATCTCGATAATTTTTTGGAGAATAGAGACAAAATTATGGCTATGCCTATCTCGCGTTTTTGGAAGGTGAATTGTCGTGTATGGTGTGAGGAAAAGTCTAATTTGTACAGTGTGCACAGCGATTATTGGTTGGTGTTGGGTTTCACAATTATCTACAGAGTTCTTCAAACATATTTAGGAATGCACATGTCAATGGAAAATCAGGATTCAGGGATGATTTTTTTTTAATAATTTCATACTTTCAAAACAAAATATTTTTATTAAAAGATTAGTTGCAGATCCTTATTTCCCGAATTGTTTGAATGTAATTGAATCAAATATCAGCATAGATTGTTTATTAGCTTGTGCAGTGTGGGAGGGGTTAACAATTCATTGGCCTTCTCAACATAACTTGACTGATTTTCAACATTGGTTTGGGGGTATATGAGATTATTCCCTCCATTCGTGCTCAATGTCAAGCCTTTGTCATGGAAAATGCGAGGATCGAACCGCCCAAGTCAGACTTTATCGCTCAGTGGAGTCCATCGTCTCCCCATCTGTCAAAATAAACTTTGATGTATGTTTCAAAGAAGCAAGGAATACAACATGGTCAGACATTTTAATCCATGATGTTGCAGGTGTAACATCCTCCATACCGGGTTAGTGATCAAATTGTGAAATTATAAAATTCAGTGACCAAAGTAGATAAATTGAATAGTTGAAAGATTTAATTGGAATGTTTTGTGTAGGATCAATTAACAAAGAAGGAGGAACTAAAGGGGTAAATGAGTCTTTTAATAGGGGAAATAATTAAATATTAGATGAGGATATTTAAATCCACGTGGAAGGCAAATGAAGAGAACAAAAGTTTCCAGATTTCTCTTCTTCTTCACTTCTTCTTCTCCATCGAGAGACCAAGCTAAAGGTGAGTTTTCTTGTTGATTAAATTCTTGATGAATTTAAGGTTTCTTATTGATCCTTAGTTGATAACTAAGCTTAAGGAAAGCTTAGATTATCTTAAAACCATAAGATGAGGAGAATATGAAGAATCAAAGAAAGGAAGTAGAAAAGTGAAATATTGGATTAGAGTTCCTAATAAGAATTAGAAGTGGAATTTGACTTGTCATAAAGCTAACTAAGAAGTATGAGGTGTTAGAATTCAAATTAGAACATGCTGGAATTTGGGTTAGATTCTTAAATTCTATATGGAGAATTGGATTTTTAAGTTTCAAAAGTATGAAATGGATAATAATTAGTTTAAGTAAGAGTATGCAAGTTAAGGATATATAAAGAGGGGAAATATAAAGAGTTAAGTAGACTAAGAAGAGATTTTCATGCTAAAATGACAATTCTGGGCAATGTGCATCGATGCACATTCATTGTGCACCGATGCATCGATGATAAATCCCAGAAATTGTTTAAGGTGCATCGATGCACATGCAGTGCATCGATGCATTAATTTAAAAAGAAAACATCAAATAGGATTTATGCATCGATGCATAAGGAGTGCATCGATGCATCCCCATTAAATACAAACATCGAATAGGATTTATATATCGATGCATGGTGTAGTGCATCGATGCATACCTCCATTAAAAGATGAAAATGGCTTTTCTTTTAGCCAAAGAAATGATAGTTTAGAATATATTAATTAGTATACTGATAAGAATCAATGAATTACTATGTAGATATCGAGCCTAAACGAGTTCCGGAACCATCAACAAGTAGGATCAATCGAGGGAAAGACAAAGAAATCTAGGTGAGTGCATATGCATAGCATGAATATGTATTTTATTCAGTTCTAGACTTGTGATAAGTCTAGATTCAATATTTTGATACATGATAGTATTTCATATTATGATATATGACATGAATCCATACCATATGCATTATGGGACATGAATATGCAAGAAAAAGTTATATGAGTTATGTGATAAAGGTATGAAAATAATATGTCTACGTGATACAAATAAGATAAATTGTGATAGCCCATGTTATGTAAATGAGAACTATAGGTATAGTTGGCATGCCAAGGGTAGAGGGTATATGTGGTCTATCGGGACATATATGTATTCTTTGGAACATGTGTGAGGTCTGGTGAGACACATACTTGATCCTTGGCATATGTATATGATTCTTAAGGAATGATATGTGGTCCTTATGGACATTATTATATGGCACTACGGTGCAATTCTACGCGGCACTCCGGTGCAATTCTACGTGGCACTTAGGTGCAATTATATGAGCTGTGGTGACAACATAGTGCACAACCTCACAATACTCACATACCTTAGGTTCTCTGTATAGTACCATGGGCTAATGAACTTACTAAGGCGAACTTATGAATGTGAATTTGATAAGTATTGTAAGAAACATGGTTTTGGTTATTGCATTTATATACTCTTATTATTGCAACCCATCTCATTTTGGCAATTACTTTATATTTATTGATATTATTATTATATTACCTCACTAAGTCAATGACTTAGCGTGTGAGTGTTTCACACGTAGGATCCGGTAAAGTAGACGATCGAGGTTAAGCAGCTGGACAACATTACTCCTGTAACTATCAGATCAGAAACAACTTAATCAGTAGGTCATTTTGTTATAGAAATGGATGTTGACATGTAATTAAAGAGTTAAGTTGTGTATGCTCTGAATATTTTGGTAAACTTATATTACCATATGTATATTATTGTATTTTTCGAAATATAAGTTCAAGTATTTTACTATTATTTGTAATGAGTTGTGTTTTAAAAGTCAATGTAATATCTCTGACTCGTATCCGGGTTGGATACGGGTTGGGGGTGTTACATTTAATGATATCAGAGCTATGGTTTAGCCGATTCTAGGCATAAACCAGAGTCTATAGAGTCTTTAAATGGAATACATGCCAATATATGAGAACTTCTGATCTGGTATAGTATGAATATGTTGTTTTTCTAATAGAACAATGTGTTTATTCTTATTAGATGTCCGGACATAATAGCTCCCGAAGTG